CCCTTTCATACCTTTGCAATTTGATAAACTCGTCATCTTCTCGCTTATACCACTACTAGTTTTATAATATCGATTATTATATAAATTAAATTTTTACTAAAAAAAAATGTGGTTAACGTGCAGATTATTTTCCTATCCCCAATTTCTATTACAAGTTCTTGCGATCTTAATTATATGTAGATATGGACTTGGGCTGCGTTACCTTCTACGTCGATGTTGTTCAAAATATTTCATACTTCTTACATCACGTGTGAAATTCTTCATTTTCGACCTGTGCAAAAATAATCTTGTACTATAATTTTCCGTATTTTTATTAGTATTCCGCTATTGTTTACTTTACTCGTGTTTCTCATATAATATGCGAAATTTTGTAAAATATACGAAACTACGATAACATTTCATTGCGCAATAAAAGTATTTCAAACTCTACAATGTTTCCGCAAAATTATCGTTTAAAGTTTATCCACGAACAACTTTCTGTAGAAATATCTTTCAGTAGGAAAATGATTTCTCCTTTCTTTACGATTCAATTGTTATTGCTAGTTTATAAACTTGATAACAACTACTCTTAACTTTCTTTCTTTAAAAAAGGAAAATGAAAACTTTCTAAAGAGGTGATTTTTATTAATCAATACTTATACATACAACGAATAAAATGCCGCTGTACATGTTTACTTTTATATGAAATTATGCGTCTGTGTATGTTATATATCCAGTAAAGCATATTCCCTAATAAAAGTATCTACTAAAAATTCAAACAATCGATAACTCCTTTGTTGCTAACCAAAATCTATATCTGCGATCATATACAGGGTGTTTCATTTTTAGCGACTCACACAAATATCTCGCAATGTACACATTATTCGAAAAAGTGTTTCAAATAAAACTTACTTTTGTAATGTCACGAATCTTATCTTAGTTGACGTGCCTCTGAGATTTCAAGGTAAACTTCGTTTTCTTTTTTTAAATGGAACTATATATCTTTCCACACATCGTTCGATGCAATTTGTTAATTCTCTGCGAAAAAGTATTAACGTACTTGGGTCAAAATGTGATTAGTTAAAAAAAGATATTTTAACTTTGACTTTGTAAAACTCGATATGAGAAAGGAAAGTATAAAGAACGAGTAATCAGACACATTCGAGCTACTTAACTTCTTCGTACATGGAAACAAGATGATTTTGAACAATTTGTGTAAACCAGTATGAATCAGTGTAGAAAATAATTTGAAATAAATGATTATCATCGAATAGCTTGAATGCATCTGATTACTTGTATTTCATACTACTTTCCCCTTTATACCTTGAAAAGGAAGACGAATCGACCCATGGAATATATAAGATCTTTTACTCAAAATGACCTCCCAAACATTTTGACAAGGTTCACCGGTTGAGATTTGGAACAGCCTGTACATGATACATCTGAACTCGAAAAATATTGGTTCTGCAAATGCATATACATGTATTAGCATATATAACATGTAAAGTAAAGAATTTGAAATTAATAAAAAATACATAACAAATAAATAAATATTTATATTCTTATTCTTATATTTCTTATATGTATTTCTGATAGATACAATTGTCCAATTAATTACATACCATCCATCGATGAAATACATATAAAATAACTTTTTAAATTCTCTCGTTTGATATTACAATTTCCTTCCTCCCACCATCTTACGCTTCTTTCCTTTTTCAATCCTCTCATGGATATCTTATATCCTTGACCAGCGCTCATCCTCCTCTCTCATAGCTTTTATAATCTCTGGTTTCTCTCCCACCACATCGCTCTCTGTTACCCCCTATCTATTTTTTTCTATCTTGTCTCTCCCCTTCCCTACGCCTCTCCTTTCCGTTCTTTATGTCTACAACGCTCCGTTCCTTTTTACGTATAACCTGTCTTCGTCGCTCCTCATTTCCCCTATTTCACCATAAAATACACCCTCGAAGAGCCGACATTGCAGAGTTGAACGTCGACATAGGGGAGTCCCGGCTTCCCTACTGTTCCTCGTCTCTCGTCGTTTCTCCTCGTCTCCCCTTCCGCTCACCCTTTCTCCCTCTCTCCTGGCTGGCCTCTTCTCTCCTACTCTGATATTAATTTCTCTCTCTCTTCGGCAATGTCTCTGGCCACGATTCCACCCCTCGCAAAGCGACGCGATCGATGGAGCGTCGCCCGCGGTGAGTAACCCGTCGACGGGTTCTCCTGCTTGCCGAGTAACACGCGCATGTATTCAGTCGAGGCAGACGTATACGTATACTATAACACAAGCAAAGGTATCAGGCTTCAAAGGGCGAGAAACGAGCGAAAGTAAAAAGAAAAAGAAGAAGGCGTTACCAATGGAATCACTTACCAATTTTATCAGTCAAATTGTGGAATATCGTAGTCGCGCGTTCGGCAATGTACAGTTACTCGCAGTAATATTTGGACATAGTACTGTCGCTGTACTTATTATTTTGCGTAAGAAAACATGATTTGTATCGTGTTGTTTATTCTACGAGAATACCAACCATTTGTCGTAGCTTGAAAATATCCTAGATATGAAAATTTCTTCCTAAGGGTGCCCTCGGACAATCAATAATATCGCCAATATATCAAAGTTCTCAGTGAAAATAAGGTTTGTCAATAAATATTGACAATCCATATTGATCCTTTTAATTGAGAATCTTGAAATATTGACAATATACTTGGTGGTCTGGCGCTCTAAGGAAGGCACTGCAAGATCCACTGTCCACGAAGCTTCGTTCCATAAAAGCCTAAGCATAGTCTATTAGACATGACGATATGTCTACGCCGATGTTCAGTCTACGAAACGTACAGCAAGGAACATTTTACCTCGTTATTAGACTACGGATTTTTTATGCAATTGTGAGAAACTTGAAGATACAAAAATGCATGGGATGCACATAATACGTAAAAATATATAAGATATTCAATGTACAGTACTTCTTGTAGTACTTAATGGATAAAACAAATCTCTATCTAGATCCTGTATTTTATCGTATTCGTGAAAATGTGAATTTACATCAGAAATCCGTGGTCTGTTCGTTATTCGTTATTAAAACATCGAGCGACGAGTAAAACCTTTTTCACCCTGTATCGCTGCATTCGTTTATAGCTGTAACGTACGCCTCGCTACTGACAATGTTAGCGACAGCCATCGTGATGAAAACATGTAGCGACGAACACCGTTTGCTGCTGTTTCGTGGACAGATGCACATTACTTCACAATAAACACTGCATGGAAGCGTACTTAGTACTTGCTCTTAGCATCAACGCGTCTAGTACGTCTATGAAGAGACTCTTCGTGGACAGTGGGCCTAAAAATAACGTTTAAGTCGATTAAAGAATCTTTAAACATCCTGTTATTTATTCTACGACAATATATACCATTTATCGTGGCTCAAAAATACATAATTAGTTCCTTTCCTAAACGATAATGGTTAATTATACAATAAGCTCTTAACAAAAAGAAAAGTTGTCACCTTTGTTTCTTAAATTCGATGCAGTCTATTCCTTTATGCCTTCTAATAATATCTGCTGCATTTAATACTAATAATTGCGCAATTTCAGGATAACTTTCAATCTTTTCTCTGTGATGAGATACAAGTTGTCTATTATCGACTAGTATGCATTCCTTTCCGTGATATGTTAAATCTCTTGATGTATTAAAAAAATATTGATGTTAGTTTCTTATGGCGTCGATTATACAAAAGAATTGCAGAAAATAAATCTGTTTCACGGTTCAAATGATTTCTAAGAATTTCTAGATTGCATAATGTAAACAGGTGTCAGAATATTAGCGTGACGTAAAAGTTAGATAAGTTTTTCGTTAAAAAGCTACTGTACTGTTAAATGTCATTGTTAAGAAGAAATTGTTTACGTATTTTCAAGATACGATATTTAAGTCATCTTCTCTTATACAATGCAACAAATACATAGATAACACCGTACATATGTATATTGCAAGAAAATGATTCTCAAAATTTTGACGAGAAGAATTTATCTAACATTAGTTGCCTCACGTTTCATATTTGGCAGTTGTCTCATGTTTGTTTTAAAAATCTTTTGTCACGTTACATGTATATATAATCGTTACAGTTGAACTTTGTAACAGCTATATCAAACGAGGCGTTGGATAAAAATTAGAATTACGTAAATCGTCGTAATTAATTGGTGCACGTAATTAGCATTACGTTTAATTATATTTATGAATTTAATGACATTACGTGGTAATGACAAAATCCGCAATCACTTAGTTGCCAGCCCAATAATACATTAAAATTTAGAAATATAAATAATTTAATAAATTTAAAACAATATTATCAATTATAAGATAATGACAAAGATCAATAAAGTTTCCTTAATTATTTCAAACCAATAGTTTCAATTTTATCCGTCACTACCTTTATATTTACATAATGTTTAAAATTTACTTCATTTTATTTGAATGCATGAGAATGTTACTATTATTTTGAATGTAAATAATCGTATATAATGAATTCTTTGTACAAATACGGAATTTTCAAAAAATTGAAAGATAAAGATATTAGTTCTCTAGATTTTTCAATTTCTATTTTAACCACGTGGATAACCCCAATTTTAATACAACATAAACATCGTACCTGATTATAACTGAAAAAATATTATGAATGATTCTATATTCATTTCAATATTGATATTACAAGTTTAATAAATACGAATCATAATTATTTCATTCACTTAGGTATAAATTTCCTTTTTGGTGTAATCTTTGTACTAATTATTAATTCCGATTGGTTCAAACAAATTTTAATTCGTCACTTGATTTTAAAATAAACAAAATTTGATGTAAAGTCGTTCCAAAATGTTAAATACAACATTTTAAATCTTCTTCTTCGTAATAAATCCTAATTATCAATTTTTCTTCATTTATAAAAGAAGTAACATTTCTTACTACAAAATCTAGAGAGATAATAAACAGATAACTTCAGGCGTAAAGTGACGTAAGTAACTAGAATAACTAGATAGTATGTTACAAGCACAATAGTATGTTACAAGCATGCTACAAGTTTAAGACGAACAATTTATATTACCTGATATCACTAATGTAATGAGAAAGAAAATTTTCAAAATGTCAGCAACAATGAGAGTAGCGCTTCTCCAACGATGGAGTGAGTAGCTCTTTTATGCTACAATTACATTAATATTCGGATATTATCTCTTTATTTGTTACTTCGTATTAGAGAGAATGATCTAATGTCTTGTTGCTTATTCTACAAGAATATGTACCATTTATAGTAGCTTGAAAATACGTAAACCATTTCTTCCTAAAAATAATATTGAATAGTACAGTAGGTCTTTAACGAAAAATTGTCTTACTTTCACATCATACTAACATTCTGACATTTATTTACATTCTGCAATCTGGCAATTCTTGGAAACAATTTGAATGCAAAATAGATTTGTTTTGTATAATTGTTTTGTATAATGAACGCCAAGAAAAATTAATATCAATATTTTTTAATATATCAGAAGACTTAACATGAAAAGGAAAGAATAGTAAGTGATAAAAGATAACTTGTAACTTATTATAGAGAAATGAATAAAAGTTATGCAGAAGTTGCACAATTATTAGTATTAATTGCAGCAGATATTAGAAGACATAAAGACCAAGACATGAAGACATAAAGACTGCATTGAATTTAAGGAACAAAGAGGACAACCTCTTTTTTGTCAAAAGTCTATTGTATAATTAAATGTTATTGTTTAGAAAGAATTGTGAATATATTTTGAAGGTATAGTAACTGGTACATATTTTCATAGAATAAACAACATGATTTTTAAAAGAAACAAATGCTGAAATTAGTACTGTGTCTGAATATTACCACGAGTAATTGTTTATGAGAAAGAAATTTCAGGAAAACAAGATTGCTTTAATTGAAATAAACCTTTATTTGCAGAAAACTATTGGATGAGTATTTATATGGATTATAAAGAAACAGCATTGGATATTGCTAAAAGTTTTAAAGAACATCCTATTAAAGCATCTATTTATTTTTCTCGTACGTACATTTATGTTTCATTAACGAACAATAATAATTTTAACAATATTGGCTAAGCACAAAATGTTATTAGTGTATATTTTTGTTCTAGAGACTAGTAAAAGATTAAAGTAGAAAATAAATATAAAGGATAAAAATTTTTAATATATGTTTATATTAAAAACTTTATTTAATTAGTTTTAGGATCCTATGTATATCTACGCAGGCATAATCCAGATGAGCGTTCCTTCAAAGAACATTTATTAGAAAATACTATAAAAGTAATGCAAGTGGGAGAAGCTATACGTAACCCAAAGTCTGAACAATATCTACAATGGTTAAGCCAATCTTACAATGAAGGAATTGTGCGGCGGCTGGATTTAGGTATAGTTAGTTTAATCTGGTTAGATAACTATGACAAAATGTGTTCCTTGTACAAAGTTGCTTGTCCTTATTTAAAAACACAATATCTAACCTTTTATCAAAGAGTGGTAGATATTGGATTTTTAGATAAATGGTGGATCTTAGAGAATAAAATGAAAGATTACGATGTAAATGAAGCACAATTTAGTGATGTAAAATATAAATAAACATAAAAATGAAAAAAAGTTATTTATTTTATGAAAAAATAAAAATACGAATTTACAATAACAAACAATCCAACAGTACAACAATATAGTATCTTACTATTATTTGTTTCTGTATTTAATAACATAAATTTAAGTAATTTATTTTTATCTTGCTCTCTTAAAACCAGAAAACAATTCTATATATTAATGATTAATACACAAATTGAAAAACACAATCCTTTATTAAAAATATTTATAAATACTAAAATTTGATATCAAAATATAAAACATCTTTTAACATATTGTACATAATTATTAGTGCAAACTTATTTAATTTGAGTCTTTTGACTACGTTATTTTCAAATATAAATATGCATACTTCAATGTGTATGTATATGTGTCAAATATATATGTAAACCTTTGTTTAATAAAATTATTCCTTTAAAAAATGGCATGAGTATTTTGGTTTGTACTTTTCTTTTTTTAATTGTTTTGTATTAATTGCACCTCCTGAACTCTTTGCAAAGCTTTAAATATATGTTATTTTGTTTTCTCTTACTTAACACTACATATTGATCTAAACTTTGGTAGGAAAAATAGTAACTTTTATTTATATATAACACTAAAATCAATTCTTCTTCTGGCTATGCCTCTGTAAAGCTCTTAAGTTTCTGAAATTAAGAAATTGATATATGTAAATTATCATTACTATAACCAATATTATAATGACTTACCTCGAACATAAATAATAGCTGTACGACAAGGAATGTAAATCATCATATTATTTGAATAATTAGAAAATGGTTCTGGTTTGGTAAAATGTTGTACATTAGTATCAACACGGTTTTCTCCGCCAAAATCTTTATCATCACTACATAATAGAACCTTATAAGTTCCTGCATTTTTTACTCCAATAGTATAATCAGGAAATGATTTGATTGGATGAAAATTAAACACAAATACAAGTTCTGCTCGATCGAAAACAATTACTTTGTCCTCTTCATGTTTCCAACTTACATATGCCTATAAAAAGCATATAAGTTTTATCACTGGAGTTAATATACATAAATATTTTTATTTAAACCTTACAGGGCCTGCATGCAGCCATCCATATTTTTCTTCAAGAGTATTTATAGCACGATCCCAATTATTCATAAATTTGTATTTTAGTAACTCATCATCTACTAAATTCCACTGTCTCCTAGCATAATGGTAACTATCTGCATTACCAGCTCGTGGAAAATCCAACCATTCCGGATGTCCAAATTCATTACCTAACAGTTTATATATTAAGAAATATATAACTCTAAATTATTAGAAGTTACAATTACAAAAATATGTTTTTAAAACTAACCCATAAAATTTAAGTAACCTTCACCTCCCAATCCGTGTGTAATTAATGTGATAAGATTATGAAGAGCAATTCCACGACTTATGATTGGGTTAGGTGGACTTGTTATACTCATATGCGTGTACATTTCTTTGTCCATAAGCCAAAATGCAATTGTTTTATCACCTACAAGAGCTTGATCATGAGATTCTGAATAAGCCACTGTTTTTTCCATCCATCTTCGATTACTTAGTGCCCAACAAATATCTCCAATACTCCAATCTTCATCTCTCACCTCTTTTAAAAGTTTAATCCATTTATCAGGAATCGCCATAGCTAATCTATAATCAAATCCTATACCGCCTTCAGTAATTGGCCTTTAATATTTATAGAAAAAAGAAAAAATTAGTAATTAACTTACGAAAAATTTATGCTAAAAGAAAAACTTATTTAACATTGCAATCTTAAAACATTTTATACCTGCAAACCCCAGGCATTCCACTAACATCTTCAGCTATTGTAACAATTTCTGGATACAAACAATGCAGCATATGATTTGCAAGCATTAAATATACTACACCTTCAACATCAACATTAAGACCATAATATTCGTCATAGTGGCCACTAAAACCTTGTCCAAATCCTCTTGAATGATATAACATTGATGTAACTCCATCAAATCTATAAAATTTAATATTATAAGTATTTACAATGTAAATATTATATGATAAAATGACATTTTAGTGAATTTAAGGTATAAACAAATACCTAAATCCGTCAAAATTATATTCCTCAATGTACCAACGTAAGTTGGAAAGTAAAAATCGCAACACTTCGTATTCTCCATAATTAAAAAGTCTACTGTCCCAAAGCGGATGTTGACCACGATTACCAGCATGGAAGAAACAAGCGTCGGTACCATCGAACATATTTAATCCATCTAATGTATTTTTTGATGCGTGTGACTGCACCATATCCAATAAAACATATAAACCATGTTGATGTGCTGTATCTATTAACTGCTTTAATTCTTCTGGTGTACCATAACGAGATGAAGCAGCATAAAATGAAGTCACCTTATTAAATTTAATTAAATATGTTGTTATGAAATTTAACATTCACTTACATTAGTTTTATAAACAAACCTTTTAAGATTATCCATGATAGGTACACACCTGATATCCAAAACTTGCATAATAGGCATGCTCCATAATAGCCATCAGTTGAATAGCATTATAGCCTTGTTTTACAATGCGAGGAATTATTTTTTCAGCAAATTCTAAATATGTGCCAACTTTCAATTCTTCAGTGGCAATACCAACATGACATTCATATATTCTGAGACTTTCTGGCTTTTTTGGTTTGGAATATTTAAATTTATAAACCTGAATAAAAATATGTCACTTTGAGGTCTTAATATATACTATGAAATTAATTGAAAATAATGTAAACTTCTAGTTGTATAAAGTAATTATATACATATTTATGTATATATATATACATTTTCAGATGATGGGTGCCATATACGTTGTTTATATGTAACACTTTCTGCTCGATTTTGTGTAACATATGTAGCCCAAGGGCTTAATCGTTCCAATAATTCATTGTTATGATCTTTTACAATTATTTTGACTTCTGAAAGATGTTTTATAGGGCAACTACCATCAGCATTAGGAGGTAAATGTAATTCCCATTTACCATAATCCAATTTTTTGTATGAATTAGCTGTCTTATTCCAACCATCTGGAAATAAAAATATAAAAATATTATAATGTTTAAAATACTTTTGTTTCATACATCTCTTATGCTATATATTATTACGTAAGAATTTATGTATTATATTGTGAATTGCCAAAGAAGACAAACTAATTCTCATATTATTTAATACCAAACAAAAATATTAGAACCTATAATAGATATAAACCATATCCGAAAATCTGTAAACAGAAAATTTGCAAATATATCTTAAGATTTTAAGATCAATGACCTCTAAATGAACCATACATTCAATTTTGAAATATGTATATATAATACATATAGTACAAAACTTTCTCTGATTTTTATAAAAATTAATATATTAACAAACATTTGCTTCCCAATCTCATTTTTTAATTAGAATTATGTTAGTATTATAAATAAATAAAAAGTGCATTAATTCACTGGGTTATACATAAACAAATATATCATGCTATATCTTCTAAAATAAATACAATGACACAATTGAATACAGTGGTATTTAATAATTAACATGTTAAATGTTCAATTGCTTTGACATGACTTTTCATCTAGGCTTCAGTATTATAATTGTATCATATATGATAATTATGCATCGATTGATTATATTCTAAAGCATTTCATAATCAAATTTCCTTTTATACAAAATAACTACAATCAGTGGACTGTTGGCGGCCTATACAATATTCAATGTGTTAATTATATTCTATATTGGACAATTGAATAAGCTGTTTCTGTTACATTTGTCTTTTTGCAATTTTATATTAGTTTTACATAATTTATAGTTTTATTCTACTTACTAAAATCTCCCATTAAAAATAATTCTTGTGCACCCGGTGCCCATTCTTTTGCAATAACACTATTGTCTTCTTTTATATGAATTCCAAAAGTTTTATAACCTTCTGAAAATTTATCCAAAGTGCCATCGCCGGTTTCCACTTTTTCTACATAGTCTTTAAATAAAGCATATCTGGTAAAAAAAGTTATTGTACATATAAACACTTTTTGATGACATTTAGATATTATTTTATCCTGAATTACCTTAATTGTATCTAAAACTATACATGTCCAAAACAGACATTTACATATGTTTAAAAATGTACATAATACCTTTTGCGAATCTCATTTTCATAAGGTTTTAGGTATGGATCTCTTTCCAATAAAGCATTTATTTCTGGAACTTCGACTTCAGAAGGATCCATACTTGACCATTTTCCTCCCATATTTATCTTTTTTAAATAAATTTATTAGAAAATAAATAGCGATCAACTTAAAGTATATCGAGACCTTATGCTTCACTCAAATTCAAGTAACACTTCAAGGTGACCCTCAGTACAATTCTATCGATCGAATCTCTACCGGCCAAAAAAAAATACGATTATACGAAAACACGATAAAGTATGTACTTGCAATGAAACGACTTTTAAGAGTGGAAGCTTTACTACTTAACGATGTCTATCAAATATGGCGAATAATTTACTATAATTGGCGCTAATTTCAAATTTTTATCATTCTTTATACAGTACATAATGTATGATATTAGAAATGATCCAAATCATTTCTTCTTACTTTAAATTTTCTAAGTATTTAATATAATTCGACTGCAAATTTGTATGTAAATTCATATTTTTGAGAATATAATTAAAACAGTAAAATCGCAGTGGAAAATTGTCTTATTTGCCAAGTGTTATAGGTTAATATACAAAGTAAATTAACACTCCCGCCAAAAATTTAAATCTAAAATTGTTAACTTACTTTCCGAAGGGACTGTATGTAAGTACTATATACTTTGGATACTTTATACCTATATCTTTTTCATATTGTGTGCAGTCTATCCGCAGTCTATGTAATTATAATATTTATAAAAAATAACAACAAATAATGATACATAATTTATATATATGATAATTTTCATCATTATTGTAATCATTATTATTGTATACTATTAACATTTACATCTATATTTGTAAATTAGATTATACAAATCA